TTATCTACCCAGACCTCAGAAAAATTACCGCGTTAATACCCGACACAACCAACCAGTTCTCTCCCTTGACACTGCCCTTCCCCCAGCAGATGCCCATGCAGGAACTCGTAATGTTTAAAAAAAAACCCTAAATATTTCTCCCTTTGTGACCTTGCTGGAGTACTTGGTGTCTGTGTCTGAAAGACTTGCTTGAGTTTTATGGTGTATATTTTCTTGATGTTATTTTTATTATTTCTTTAGTAGAGCAATGTCTGCATTTGTAATTGAATATTGATTATTTATTATCCCAAACAGTTTGACATTCACCCAATGATCCTGACTGTGCAGATGGACATGCGTCAGAAGCATCGCCTACCACATGCTCTCGTAGTTGCTTTTATTGGTAAGTTACAAACAACTCGTGTACACTTTTCATATAAATTATTACATCAGGAATTCTGCATGGTCCACTAACTGTACAAATACTGCCTTGATGTTCCTGCTGTGATTTTATTTATCTTATAGTGATATTATTCTTCACATAAAATTTACTGATTGTTTATATTATATGGCTGTGGTGTCCTTGTGTGACAGGGTGTGGCGGAAGATCAACCGATCTGCGCGATGTTTCATTTCATTTGGGGTTGATACTGCTTCAGTTTGGGAGTGAGCGAATGTTTGACCCCAACGATACAAGATGTAACATATCACAGTCAGTTATTGTGTTACAGGCAGTGTGTGTCTGTTTGTGAGTCTCTCTGTTGCTGCCTTTGTTATCTTGGGGTCATCTGTTAAGGCCAACATCCTCAACAACCTCTCTGCCGGTCCTCTTCTATACGTCAACATGGCCATTGTCTCCATGCAGGTAAGGGAGGCAGGGCAGTATACTGTACATGATAGGGAAGTATATATGACAGTGGAGTATACATGTAGGTAAGACAAGGGAGGCAGGCACAGGAGTATACTTGTACCTTTATAAATACTGTATTGTACAGCATCGTGTGTCTTGTAAGTTACTGTGTACTTGAGCATCACAGTATGGTTGACAAGAGCTATATTTCAGCTGCTCCTCTGCCTGGTGCTCGGGATCAACACACTTTTCCAAGACCTTGAGAATTCCCTTCATATTCCTGACGGTGAGTAGTGTGTGTTGACTGACACTTTCATTTGTTTTGGTATCATGTTGGTCGTTTTGGTTACTTTCTTTGTAACCAATACTAAAATAATAACGTTTAGTCACAGCTGAGTATCATGTAATGGTAATAAGCAAGTTGTTTCTGGCTACTAGTATTTTCATATTTAAATGTTCCAAAAACTGACGGCTCAATCTATGTATAAAGAAATTGCAGGTACACTACCGATTTTCCGGGAACTGATGGTCCAGCACCTTGTTTAGTGCAGAAAAAATTACGAGAAGGCCCTTGAAATTCCCGCAACTGCCAGACTAGTTGTTTATACTGCAGTTGTTGGGGGTGATCCCTCGATTTTGTGCGATTCTCAGCTCATTTTGCTTACATTTAACCCTAGGTGTGACTTCTGAGAAAGATGCAAGTGTCAGTGATGGTGTCAAGGGTAAACACCAGTCCATATCGATACAAGATAATTAATAATCCTGTTTCATTGATACTAATAAACTTGTATCATTTATACTAATGTCTTTCATTTAAGCATTTAATTCACATTTAATTTACATTTAATATTTAAGTTTCTATCAGTCTATGGTACTTTAGAGACACGGGAGGTGTATAATTAGTGGGTCACAGGTGTATTGTTGAATTATTACTGCGTTACCTTGGTTGGTCCGGCAAAATGAGTAATCCGGCAAGGCTTTAGAACCAAGGGTGCCGGAAAATCGGTGGTGTACCTGTATTTAACTTACTTAGCAACCTAATTTACCAGATGTCCATCCACTAGAGGTGGCCATGCTGAGGGAAGGACACCAGTGGTCTAAGTAGGATCCCTCCATTGCTCTTGAAAGTCTTGTCAAAGACTATTCTGTACTGTGCTTTACTTACCCACAGTATTTCTGATCTAGCTGTTGCTTTATGCTCTTAAAACACATTTTCAGAGTTTGGTTGGCGACGCATCTGTCTCCGCACAACAGTCATGCTACTCGTTCTTTGTGTGTGAATCTATTCCACATTTTGCTGTTGCTATTGAGCTGGTCGGCGGTCTTCTTGTCACACCCTTTATATTTATCTTCCCTCCAGCCTTCCACATCCTTATTAAGGCGAGTTTATTTTATAATCTAGTCTATAGAGAAATGATAATAATTAACATGTTTGATCCTACGATCCATTATGATGCTGTAAACCCCAGAGTTTCACATTCTTTAGGTTTATTTAACAATTATTTACAATTTTAGAAAAAACTAAGAAACTTCAAACTTGTTGTACATAGTTTCAATGATGTAAATGTTAAGTTCTCATATAAGTACCGAATGTTGCCTAGGTCAAGCCTCCTGACCAGCAAGTAAATTAGTTCTGTTCTTTCTCTATTTATGCTTTAGTAACATTGCTCCATCAGTGACTTGGAGAAACATCTCAGAAAAGGTGAAAATAAGACAAAACTGGCAACTGCTGAATTAAATTAGACCCAGATTACAGTAATGAACACAATGCTCCTCTGTCTTAGTCTTGGGGTGCAAAAAATAATATTAACATACTGAATATTGATGTTTGAGTCATTGTCATGTGTTTATATATATATTGTACTACAGAAAACAAGGCATTGATTGGTTACTTGTACATGGCAGTGAGCATTAAGACTACTGGCTTGGGTGAAGTCAAATGAAAGGGGTTCTCAAGAGGGTGAGTGGACTGACTTGACTCCAAGCATCCCTAGCTGGTGCAAAATAGTGAGGGTTTACAGCACGTTGGGCTATATTCTGGCAGATGGTCCTGTGGATCACGTATCTCAGCAATATAATGGGATTCCTTACTGCAACCCTTTCAAATATTTGACAGCATAAAGCTAGTGGCCGCGCGGATGTGAGAGACGTTGTGTTAGCTGCCAATATCATGTGTCTGGGAGCTATTGGATGCATCGCGGCAACTGTTGAGAGCTTTACTCAGGTGGTCAAGCTGAAGGACTTTGCTCCCCCATGTTATATCAATATCACTACAGCTTCAGCTATAACAGATTCAACAGGATTTCCTCATCCATAACAGATTGTTCTCATGAGTGAGTATTTGATGTTTGGTCATATTTCAACGTCTCTCTTAAGCTTTTGGGGAATATCATCTGTGCGGCTAAATTATTATAAAGATTATAGGAAATGTCAGAGAAATACACTAGCACTAAGAAAAATATACCCAGGATATTTTGCCATCTTTTTTTTCCCAAAGAGCTGCAAGTACTGTATTAAGTAAAACGTCGATATAACACGAGATACGTTCCAAGAGAGGTCACTTTAAACCGAATTTGCACTAAATCGAAGTGTTGTTTCAATGGAATAATTTAGTTTGGTACTTGAGAGAAACACAAAATACTAAAAAGACTGAGAGTCTACCCAGATGCAATTCAGCCCATCTCCTAGAATAAACAAATATTGTTTTTTGTAGTATTATGTTAAAACAAACACTCATAAATCAACACAGCTAAAATTAAGGGATGCGAAATGGTCTGTTTACTAGCGATCAGCTGATGTTAGAGGGTGGTCACACTGGCGCCGCACATTGCCCGCCTCTCGTCTGACTCACCAAGCTCTTTCACTTTCCTCTCAACTTATTTTTAATTACTTTATTTTATCTAAAATAGATTTTCACTCAACTTTAGTTAAGCAATTCATTCTCTGAAGATGCAGAGCTCAACCCGACCAGGTCATTGTCCACATCACTGCCCAAATTGGCACACCACATTTGAAGCACCATTTCCTTGCTGCGGGGCTTCCAGCACCTTGATTTTCTGCTCCAGTGTAATTGCCTGCCTTGATTTCTTGGTCTTTGGGAATTTTTTTTTTTTTTTTTATTATTTATTGGGCACTCCCCTACATCCTTGTGTAAGGTGAAGCACAGAAGCATTTACAGTGCCCAACAGGGAAGCATGCTAAGTTCATGCTTGTCTTTATGTCTCACGAGTTAAGGGCGTAGAAGCCTGAAGAGTCAAGGGCATAGAATCCTGAAGAGTCAATGGTTTATGTCATCAAGCTATTGGAAGCTCCAACAACTTGTCCCTGAATACGAATTCACAACTTTCGATTTACAACAGGTACCTACTTAACTGCTAGGTGAACAGGGACTAATGGGGGCTAGGAAGTATGTCCAAACAACTTCCACCAGCCCGGGAATTGAACCCGTGACATCTCGCTTGCGAAGGCAAGAGCGGTACCACTCTACCACCAGGACCCCCAGATCTTTGGGAATGATGTGGTAGCTGGCCTTTTGGACATAAATGCGATGGTTGATGCACGTGGTAGAAGGAGATAGTGTCTCATAATACGTTCGTTCACTAGAGCATCAGTGCGAGAACTGAGGATGCGTGAGGGTGTGAGAGGGTGGCGGGCAGCCATGTAGTGTGCCCACAAACGCGTCTGGTAGGAAAACATTAGGCGCGAATTTTAAAATAGTGTGTATTTCCATATGATGCACCAGAATGACTCACATAAAATAGGAAAGATTCGCTTTAAATTAATACATTGTCCTTAATTGTGGGTGTCACTTTAAATCAATAATTTTAAATTGAATCGCTTTAAATCGACATTCTACTGTATTAGCTCAAGTGATTATTTTGCTCCCAGTAGGGTATTAACCCCACTGAACATTGTAAAGTGTGTCCAGATTTTTTTATCAAATTGCACACTTTCACTTTGTCAAGAGTACAAAGCCTCATGGCTACTAAATTGAGGAAATTGTAGGCCTCCCAACTTCCTTCCCTCATTGTCTCTCAATAGCTTCTCAACCACGATGCAGTGTACACGCTGCTCCTCACCACTCATCCTCCTGCCTTCCTACTACCCTCCACTTGTCCCCCTCAGCATTGCCCACTCTTCACAATGGGATACTGTATAGAGGCAGAGTGAGGGAATTTTGAACATTTACTCTAATAACACAACTGTATCACAATATGCATAAAATTACAAAAAAAATCTACAGCTGTTCACTCCCTCACTAACATTACCTCAGGTGCAGTAGCTAGGAAACTGTGCACATTCCAACATTCTGTCCTATCAACATTGTGCCTTAGAATTGTCCCAGAAATACAAACTAAAGTTTACTGCACGTAGCTGATCACTGTGTATAAAATACAGTAAATATTGAATATTCTCTGATTTTTTTAGGAAATTCGGAAAGCAGTTTATGGGAAGTGAAGGTAGTTTTACCCTCAATGTATCATTACAATAAATAATATTTCATGAATTATGATGATGTTTATGTTTTACCAAGAGATTCACCTCAAGAAGCAGGGATTGTCAACCCGTTCAAGATCTGAGAACACTAGAGGTCTGGGGTCGAGCATAAAGAGTTGGTAAATATTTAAATTTTGCAAATCCAGAAACCAAGAATACCAAAAGTTTACTGTACTGTATTGGCTAAAGGTTTGTAGTATCAACAGTATTTAAAATTTGTGGTAATATCAAAATAATAATTAAAACTTTTTTATCAAGAATAAAGTGTCCATGAATATTAAACATGGGATCGACTGTACATTCTAAAATTAAGGTATACAGTAAATTAAGTACTGTACATATAAAATTTAGATTTATTTAAATACAAAAAAGTTTAATGTACCACAAAAGTTACCAATTTAACTGGTCTAAAAACTTAATAATACTCTTTGAACTACCGGGTAATTGTTACAAACAAAATACATATAACCTAAAATTTCTTAACAGAGTACATTAAAACTATTTTCTCTACTAATGTACTTTACTGAGAAAAATCAGTCAGAGTTACTTTCTTCACTCAAATTCAAGACGTGAGTGGCTGCTTTCTTTTCTTTTAAAGGATTATAAGTCTTATCTTCACAATCACTTTCATCAATAGAAATGTACCCCTCATTTTCTCCATCACTTTCTTTGTAAGTTTTGATCTTTTGTTTGGCAGATCTGCGGGACAACCTCCTACAGCCCGCCTTACCCAGGTCTGGTTCAGGGGTTGTGGAGCGGCTGGTTGATCGACTTGTTACATGCTCCTCACAGTCTGATGGTTCCTGTGCTTGGCTTTTCTTTCTTCCTTTTCCAGATTTATTTTTTACTTGTCCCTGCTTCTCACCGACAGTGTAAAAGGGATCGGAAAATGGAACACCAACGTGGGAAGACGACGGCCGAGACTGTCTCTCTTCGTCGCTGTCATCACTGAGGTCAGGGTTGGCGGTAACCGTTTTATTTCCCCACTGGAGAATAGCTCGAATCTTTGCTTTCTTCTCCTCAACGTCTGATTCACTTTCCTCGTTGTCTTCTTCAACTTGTTCCGTCTTAACATCTTTACCTGTCGTGTTCTCAGTTTTTCCCTTTTTGCTTACAACTCTCTTGATGCTATTTTTTGTCTTCATTGTTCTCTTTCTACTTTTCTTGGCCATCTCCACAACATTGGAACTCAGATCAATGTTAAGATTTCTAACCTGATGTGTGATGAGAGGAGGTCTAACAGCGTCGATGTCTTCTTGTTTTATCTTTCTCCTTGGGGTGTCTTTTTCCTTTGCTTCCGATGTTTTCTTGGCCGTCTCTGTCTCCTTCTGGTCTTCTTCCTCGTCAGATGGAGCCACGTTGCCGTACATTTCTCTCACTCGCTCCTTCACCAGCATTCCCTGTATTAGTTTCTTCCAGTTGTCGTAAATTCTCTTCTGTCTCTTCTCCTCTGCCCTTTTAGCTTGTTCAATTTGCTCCTAAAAAAAAGTAGAAATTCACTTTACAACCTTGATAGTGTACATCAGTTCACACCGAGGAAATGCAGCACAATACAGGGGATTGAAATAAGTACAGACAGAAACCCTCAAATTCAGACATTTTCTTCCCTGGTGAATTCAAGTATTGTACTGTACAGGAAAGCCTCGAATTGTGACAATTCATAATGTATTTAAAACCCTGGTTAATTTAGGGCCTGATTCAGTTTACAAAATTATTTTATTCATATTTATGACAAAAATAGAAGAAAAAATATAATAAAATTACATTTTCATATGAATAATAACTAATATACTGTACAGTAGTGTACACATATTACTGTACAGTAGTGTGCACATATTAAACATAAAATAACAAAACTTGCACACGGACTATGCCGGGCTGGTGACCTCACTAACAGTCACTGCTTGGTGACATTTGCCAGTACAGTAGTAGTAAGATCATATACAGTATAATTGTTGTTTAATTGATTAAATAGCTCTATGCCTTTATCAGATGTCTTTGAAGTATTAAAATTATTACTGGTATTATCATATTTATATAACGTTTGAAAGAAACTACTGTATTGGTCAAATAACACTTTAAGGTCAGAGTTAACTTTGGCTAGATGCTGCCTCTCACACGGCCCATGTAGGAACATCTATTAAAATGGAGTGCCTTTTGTACCTGCCAAATTAGTATTTTTTTTTTTCAATCCAGAATGCGACGTCTAGCTTTAACCCTAGGTATGTAAATGCCTAGCATTAACTCGCCAGGCCAACATACAGGCAATTAAAACATCTTAGAATTACTTAATATGTAATATTAGGACACGTCGCTGCCTGGCATTTAATTGCAATTCTCAAAGCTCCCTCCCGCACCCCCCATCACACGCAATGCTACCGTCATCTTCTTGCCTGGCGAATCAGCTGTAAATGCGCACAAGGAAAGATCCGCTAATTTGTGTTGTAATACCTGAAATATTAAGTGCCTCGGGGATTTTATTTTTGGTATTTATACATCTTAGCACGGTGAGGAAATTGAGTGACTTTTATTTTGATTATGTCTCTCAGATATATATACAGTGGTCCTTCGGTTAACGAATGGTTCGGTTAACGAATTACCTTCCAAAAGAATCTTCAATTCGGTTAACGAACAAAAATTTAATTTACGAAATCCTTACGAACATCACGTTTTGTTGTGAGCATCAGCTGATGGGCTAGTCTGCCAATTCAGTAATCTGTTCTATGTTTATATTCGTTTCCAGTGGAGTAAATATCAAGAAAATTGTGCTCTTTAATATTTGTGCATTTTTTATATTAAAATTATTGGTCATTCTAAAATTTAGCCATCCAAGCTCTGTCTACATAAAGTTTTTCAACTATTATTTTTGGCTCGATATATGTAACTTTATTCATTTATTGAAACTCATTTACATGCACACACTGTCCTAAGGACAAAGCTGAACTGTACATGTAATCAAAATAATGTACAAAATGAATACTAAAATTTTAGTCTAGTGCAAACTATTGCATGTTTACATTCAAATGAATCACTGTCTTATAAGAATTCCAGCGATGTAAATTATATTCTCCCAGGTCACTTCTATGAAATTTTATAAGCAAAAAACAAAAACTAAATCTAAAGGACATAAATGAACAAATAAATACCTCACTAAACCTTCGGCTCTAACTGTCAAACATGTCACTGTCCCCCCCCCTCCCAGCAAGGGTTTGGTGGTTTTCAGTAGCCTTTAAGTTTTTATCTGATATATCATAGACTAAAGTTAGGAGAATATAATTCGCATTGCTGGAATCCTTGCAAGACAGTGAATAATTTGAATATAAATGTCATATATGTTGCACAAGAGATAAAAATTTTAGTACATTAGTGTACAGTACGGTAGTACATTTTATAATGTAAAGTTTTTCATCTGTATTTTTGGGTAGATTTACATAAATTTCTTCATTTTTTTATCATTCATTTACATGCACACACCATACTAAAAGAAACGTAACAGAAATAAATGACCTAAGTGCAAATCTGTAGTGTACATGTACTAATTTGATTACAGTACTTTATATTCAAATTAATCACTATCTTACAAGAATCCCAGCAATTTAAATTACATTCTCCCAGGTCATTTCACTGGCATTTTATGAGAGAAGCTTAGTCACTTAAGGACTGATAAACACACATTAGACCTTGGGCGCCAACTGTCAAACGTATCCCCCCAGGGTTTTAGGCTTACAGTTTTTATCTTATATAATATCACAGACTAAAGTTAGGAGAATATAATTTTCATTACTGGAATCCTTGCAAGACAGTGAATAATTTGAATATATACGTCATTTATTTTGCACAAGAGATAAAAATTAATCACCTGTATCACATTACAGTAATGATTTAAGAGTAAGAGTGTATATGTACGTATATATATATATATATATATATATATATATATATATATATATATACATAGTGATTTAAGGGAATTTTAGGTGTTTCTGACTTTATGCATTTTTGGCTTTACTTTGTATGTATTTTTCTGTGAGCTGGAACCAATTACCCAATATCCCATTGAAATAATGGATTCGGTTCACGAAATTTTCGGTTAACGAACAACGCTGTGGAACGAATTATGTTCGTTAACCGAGGGACCACTGTGTGTGTGTGTATATATATATATATACAGTACATTAGAAGTCCAAAAATCCGGACTGCTTGGGGATTGGGTCGGTCCGGATTTTCGGATTTTTCGGATTCTCAGGCAGTACTTTTAAAATTCAAATTTAAGGAGGAATAAAGAAGAGATGAACAGGTACATTTTGATAGTTTATTCATTATCAAGTACAGCACGCTTCATTTATCAAATCGAGCATTTTTAAAGAAAAATAAAGTCAACACTTGACATAAATGTAAACAAACATTTTTCACTACGAAAAAGGGGGCGTGTAATGCTTGAAATCATGTTTAAAAATGAACATTGTAAAATAAAAATACAGTAAACAAATGAAAGCAGAATTTATTTTATACAAATTGATTATTTATTTGTAGTTTATTAACAAAATATTTTCCTATTAATACAAAGTACAAAACAACAAATAAATATTTATTCGTTGATTTCCACGAATTCTATATCGTCTGCTGCACTGCTTGTGGAAGGAACACGTGCTGCATCTGCTGCACTGCTTGACACTGCTTTCTTTAAATACTTTCGGAAATCACCTTGTTTACGACTTTGTAATTTCTTTGTGATAAGATTATTCTGCACCATGTGTGCATGCATGACGTCTTGAAGACTGAAGCTATGGTTCTGTTCCACAAATTTAATAATCGTTTCAATGCACTTTTCTGCAGCAGCCCAAGATATCTTTACTTCAACTTTGTCGTCTTCTTCACCAGATTCTTCTGAACAATTCTCTTCTATCTTCTCAGAAGTTGTAATGCTTTGAATGATTTCTTAATCAGTGAAAGTGGCTGCAACTTCAATATCATCGTCAATGTGTATCCACTCTTCTATGTCAGCAGCATTAAGCTTGCGTAGAGGGTTGTCTTCCAGAGATAATTTAACAGTCTCCATCAGTTCTTGCACTTCAGATGCCCTCTGCTTTATGTGGAATCCTTCAAAATCTTTGTCTTGATCACACTCTAGATCTGCAAACATCACTTTCGGCCACAACTTTCGCCACGCTCTTAAAAGTGTTTCAGGCTTGACTGCATTCCATGCAGTCACGAGTGAAAATATTTCATCCTTGATTGTAAAACTGCGTTGAAATTCTGTAGGGTTGACATTCTTATTCACCATTTTCGTCATAAAATCATTTTTATAGTGACATTTAAAGTTCCTAATGACTCCTTGATCCATGGGTTGAATCAATGATGTTAAGTTTGGTGGCAAGTAACATGCATAAATATTCCTGCAATCAGACACTAATTTTGATTCATGCGGGTGGGCCCTACAGTTGTCGAGAAGTAGCAGGCACTTTGTATTTGCAGGCTTTCCCAATTTCCTTAAGTTCTGACGAACTGATGGAACAAAATCATGAACAAACCAATAACGAAATATGTCTTTGTCCATCCAAGCACTCTGTTGGGCTGCATAGGTCACAGGCAAGTGCACAATTCCTTTAAAGGCCTGTGGGTGCTTAAATTTGCCAATCACCAAAAGCTTAATTTTATGTTGACCTGAAGCATTAGCACATACAAGAACGGTTAATCTTTCCTTATTAAGCTTAAACCCTGTGGCATTTCGTTCTTGATTTCCAGCCAAAGTTTTTGTGGGCAAACACTTCCAGTAAACTCCTGTTTCATCACAGAATTATAAATTTGATCGGCTGTGAGATCATAGTCATTTACAATTTTTTCTATGTAGCACTGTACTGCACACATCATTGTCATTCCTAAAAACCCTTTAATTCATATTACGCTACATAACATTCAAATCCACCTCGCTTGTAGAATCTTAGAGAACGGGAGTCATTGATAAAGGATAACTCACCTACTTAATGTTACTAGACCATGTGTTGTATTGTACCCAGGTACGGTTATATTATGTTAATCGTATGTATTCATAGCATTAAGGAGAACTCAGGGTATCCATAAGATGATCGGGAAAGTCCAGTTGAGCCGGACTAGTGTACTGTAGGACTAAGTGTGGATCATGGTTTGAAGGTCATACTATTTAAGTCTGTGAATGTGTAGCGAACATAACTTCCACAGATATCACATGAAAATACATGAGAACAATGATCTGGAAAAGGGATAAATGTGTCAGAACTATGTGAGGTGTTGGAAGTGTCCCAGAAACTATACCTGAAAGGAAATATCTTGTATGTATCAGTGTGAACTTAATACACCTCGTATCCTCACGTGACATATACCCACAACATGTACAGTGATCAGAGAATCTTATGTCTGTGTTCAAATGGTGCAATGTGTGAGAGGAGGATCCCTAATTACAGTTTTAAGTGAAGTGGATATACCCCCGCCATGAACATTC